CTGCTATATATGTATCTAAAACAGGCGAATGTATAAATGTATAATACATAATGATAAAATATTTCGTCCTTTTTACTCTTCGCCAAATAATATTGTGGCGATGATGATGGGCATAGGGGAAGGAAAGAGGAGACATGCTTAAAGAATTTTAACCTTGGAACCTGAAAGGAATAGACTACTTGAAAGATCTAGGTGAATGTGAGAGGATAATATTAAAATTAATTTTACGTAGATTAATAGGATGTGATATTGTGGAGTAGATATATTTGGTTCAGGACAATTTTCAATGACGAGGCTTTTGTGAACATGAATTGAGCCTTCGAGTTTCATAAGAGGCGGGGAAATTTTTTACTGCCTCGTGAAGGACTCTGCTGCACACACTCCACACTGCTGGTTCAGGTATGAAAGTTAGATCTATAGATATACAGTATGTCCACAAAGTCCCTTCAGTGTTTTGAAAAATTGTAGAGCGCAAACAGATTGAGTTAGCCACATGCGGTTTGCTGCAGATCATAGTGAAATTCTGGAAGATTTTTACTGACGTCAGTAGACCTCGATGTGGGTTCCCTTGGTAGCACGGAGAACGTCCAGACGATATTCGAGCTCTTGCCATGTTCTGTGGAGCATGTCCGCTGGAACAGCCGAGATCGCATTCCTGATTCGGGTCTTCAGGTCATCAAGTCCGTTAACTGGTGTTCGGAACACACTGCTCTTGACATAACCCCACAGGAAAAAATCCAGTGGTGTTAAGTCTGGTGGAAAATTTTCGATAATATAAAAAAGCTCCAGTGCTTTTTATTATTGACAATATTGGGAAAAGAAGGAAATGATAAATGCAAGTCTGATGTAGCGACGCTGGGATGTGCAGTGGTCTTGTCCGATATCCCACCGGAAGTGGCTCAACTATCGCTCCCATCTCTAGACTTTCGACCTCCACCACGCAGTTGTTACTTAATACAGTAAAATAATAGGTACCTCACCGGGCTTGGCAATCCAGTGATTGAGGTTTGCTCTTTCTTAGGATACCAACACGTTGTCTCCCCCCTCACCAGAAGACGGAAACAGATCCAGTTTCCAAAACATTGCATTTTCTAATTTTTAGAATATAGGACGATGGAGAAAGTCCGAAAACCCAGTAATTTTGGCAGTAATTGAATAGGGTTCACATCAGACTTCGAGAACATCGGGTACTGATTGACAGACTAATTGAACTGTGAAACTTCTGAGAGGCGTAGCCCACACAGAATTGAGGTATCACAAAGCGGTTTCCCTTTTTCTAAATAACGAATATGTAGAAAATGCTTCTAAACATCGTATTAGCAGGTTATATAGGGAAATATTCTCTCCGATAATCGATTCGTGTAGGTATATTATGAGGCTGATAAATTTTGTTCTGTAAAGGGAAGTTAGTGCGCATGGGAGCCCTGAAAGACAAGACGTCAGCCTGCCTGTGGATGGCAGCATTGGATCCAGGTGATTTAATTGTGTGAGTGCAAAAAATATGGATACTCAGAAACTTTTCTACATTACTGCTACCGGTCTAATGATGTGTTATGACTTGATGTGTCCTAGACGTGTACGAGTATGCATGATGGTAGGTACGATTTGTGTTTGGTGAGGAGTCTGATTTGAGGTACGTTTTACATATGAACTGTAGGACGATCTAGACATTATTGTTACAAATTTAATCGTATTTTATAAATTTCAGTGAGATAGATACTTGTGTGTACAGTATGTGTTTCATTGAGTGCAACAGGGTACAGTGGATTTGATATTAATTAGAGGATTAAATCTGCTAATAAGATCTAAAAGTCTGTGACGATGATAAATTGTTACAATTAATATGTTGAAGAAAGCAGTTTTCTGGGATTTGGCACCGTGTATATGTGGTGTTAACCGACGTTTCGGAGGAACGTATCGCCTCCATCTTCAGGGTAGAAGAAAAAATATAAGAAATCTGCAAGCGAAGAGACCGTGAGAACC